ATTGTAAAGCAACTATACTCCAATAAAAATTAATAATAGTAAAAAAGAATCATACAGTATGTACTCTTTTGTAACTAGCTTCATTTGCTGATCATTCTGTCTGACTCATAAGATTTCTTGAGATACCATCATTTAAGAAGAAAAAATTGCTGAGCCAGTATAGTCAGTCCTACTTTTGTTTAGTTGACAAAAAACTTTTGATTTTGGAATAATATGGCGTTTAGAAGCAAAAATATAATTATCTTTCTGTGATTCTAGTCATCATTGCTATATTAAAAAATTCACACAGTGCTATACCTGTGACTGGCACAAGATTACACCCAGAAAAGGCAAGGTTGGAGCCTACATCTATCAGTATTCTAAAATTAGCAACAGCAGACTGTAGTCCATGATATTGTGATGGCTTTACCACACTAATCAAGTATCATAAATGGATTATATTAAAATCACAGAACACCATAAGTACCTGAATGTAGACTTTTCACAATTGGGGTTCGTGCTAAATCAATTAAGTGGATTGCATTTTAACAAGTGAAATGGAATAGAATGGAAAATATCAAAGTGAACTGTGTATAATAAGAATGATAATATTTCATTGATATAAATGGTATTTCTCACTATGTGTAACAATAAATACTTTATAGCCACTTCACTATATACTCATCTGTAAAACATTAAATGTATATTGAACAATTACAGTGTGTGTGGCATTGTGTTAGGTGCTCCAGCACATGTTATTAAGATAAATAAAACTGGAGCCTGCCCCTCAAGGAATTTAGGGTATGATGTAAAGAAATTTACAAATAAAGTTTAAAAATGCATTGTGTGATAAGGCCATAGTAATAATAGAGCTTAGAACATTAAGAGAGGATTCATAACAGAGTTGGCATTTGAGTGAGTTTTGAATGATAAATAGGATTTTATCTGCTCAAGAGGTGAACAGAGAATGATAAGCGTTTTTATTAGCATGAAAAACAATATGTATAATGTGTTGGTAAGCAGAGAGTAATCTATGTTTTAAATAAGATAATTGGGTACATGCAGGTCAGTGAAGGAAGAGTAAATATTAAACTTAGAAATTTGTACCTGTGTTAAGTGAGGAGCCATTAAGGAGAATAATGACATGATCAAAGTGGTATTTTAGAAATAGTAATCTTAAATAGTGTTGGTTATCTTGGAAGGGATTAACGTGGTGGTTGGTAGTCTAGACTACCAAATATGGAATAATAAAGAGCTAAACTATGGTGAAGATGAGGAGAATTGAAAGGAATGGTGAGACAGGTCTAAGATATTTACTGAAACAAGTATCTCGTCAATGAGGCTTGCATTTGGATGTTAGAACCAAGGGAGAATGAGTTAAAGATAACTCTGAAGTTTTTATTCGGATGATTAATGACATGTTGTTGCTTTTACTGGAAAGAGAATAAGAAGAGAAACGTAGAGAAGATGATGGGTTGTGTTTTGGAAAGAGTAAGTTCAAGATGCTGACAGGTATAAATAACCAAAAGGCAATTGGAAATAAGGAACTGGACACCAGGAGAGGGATTTGAGAATGATCTGGAGGGTGATAGTTATGATAGCATGGCAGTGAATGTTATCACTCAGGGAGAGCTTGTAGAGAAGGCAGCGGAAAGGGACAAACTTTGGGGAACCTCCCTTTTCCCCCATTTAAGGAGTAGAAGTGAAATTAAGTCAAAACAGCCTAAATATTCTGAGGGTAGATGAGATAGTGGAGTATGAAAAACCTAGGGAAGAGAAAGTTTCAAGAACAAATGGCTTGAGCAATGTTATATGTAGCAAAGTGGTTAAGCAAGTTGATGAGAGGCATTTATTTTGTCAAATAGCAGGTTGTTTGGTGACACTACAAGTAATTATTTTTGAAATGTGGGGATGGGAGGAAAGATACGTAAACCAGATTATAAGAAGTAAAAGAAGTAAGCAGGGGAAATGGAAGGGGAAAAAGGGGAATACACAGAAATTTTAAGGAAAGGACGTAATTGGATGGATTCATAATGGAAGGGTTTATCAATAAAATTAGACTGAAACAGAGGTTGTTGTTTCGTTCTGTTTAAAAAGAATTGAGGCTAGGAAGGTGGCCAGTGCAATAGTGGCTATCCAGAATTGGCACAAATCAAATAACTTAATAATTATGATGATGGAGCACAGTGAAGGGAGAGTTGAGGTCAGACTTGCTCAGCTCAGTGCAGTGACTTTCTGAAGTATCTCTTGATATCTCCATAGGAGACGTGAGAAAGCAGAGTAGAAATGATTTATAATGTTATGTACCAGGTATCGCCGAGGTCAAGGGGCCTGAGGGTCAAAAATTATATCATGGGAGCCAGGCAAGAAAGGAGGATAAAGTCCAAGAACTGGAGGTATATTAGAAAATAGGTATCTGTCTGGAATCATTCATGTTAAATGGCAACAATTTATTTATTTCATTTGCTGCTTGCTTAGTTGAAGCATATTTAGAAAGTCACTGGGTACAAAGGGGCTTTTCAAAGAATTCACAAGTAATATCTATGGCCAGTTTTTTTCTGTTTAGCCCTAAAATAGCAATAAAGTTATAAAACTTTTTTTTTTAACTCATGGTGTGTTCTATGTCTGTCGCCTAGTGTTTTGCCTCCCAAAATGGTACCATGGACTCTTTTATGCATGACTTACCTTCATTTTAAATGCAAAAATTTATGATTACATCCCTAAAAATCCCAATCCATAATTTATCTTAGTAAATTATGATAGCTCTGTTATCTAGATTCTCATTTAAACTCCTGAATTGTTTGTTTTTACTTCTTAAGATAACAAAATAGAATAAGACCATCTGAATGTATAGTAGCAGTGTTTCCCAGAATGTGCTTGGTAGACGAGACACTACAAAATAAAGGAGAGTGTGTGTGTGTAATATGGTTGGAAAACTTGAGGAAAACAAGTCATTATGTTACCTTTTGGGATATTCAAAATGCTTATTAGCATATCAAAGCTACTGGAAGCCCTGCAGGAAAGAAAGTTATTTTTTTCTAAATCCTGCATTTCTCTAACTTACCTGACCTACAAGGACCACTATCACCATCACCATCACCCAGTTATGCTTTTATACAAATCTAATTAATATCCTTTGGAACACATTTTGGGAAATATTGCTACATTTGAAATTGTATTTGGAAGTAACCTAAAACAGTGTAAGAATGAATTCTGTGACTACTTATGAAATAGAATGACAGAGACAGATGAAGAATATGAGATCATGTTATTATGGACAATGGCCATAGGTACACAAAAGCAAATGTGTCAGAACAAAAGGAACCAATAATTTTAGGAAAAATATTTCTGCAAAAACTTGAGGAATGACCCCAACTTCTGTTATTCTAAGACTTGGAAAGCAAATCTGAGTTTATCATATCCATACCACCATGATTTTTTGTTGAGCAGTTAGTAAAAAATCACAGACTAATGTCAGATCTCTGTGGGAATCTTGGAATGGCCACTTACTAGCTGTGAAACCTTAGGCATTTTACTAACCTTTTGAGCCCATTCCCTCATGTAAAATAGATACAAAGTTATGGTAAGCATTTAATATTGAATATATACAGCCCTTAGCAATGTATCTGCACAAAGTTCCTAATAAATGGTTGATATTATTAACTATTTGTATTATCTTTTCCTACTCTGCATTCACCTCTCCTATCTGAAGGGCCCTGCTTTAAAGCTCATACTTATATAGCAATCACTTTCTCTATTTGGTCCTATAAATCATATTTTCTATACTTTATTTTTAGTTCTATTATAACTTCTGCATAGAATATGGCTATAATTAGACTTGGATTTTTATCTCTGATAAGATTGCCATTTTTTTTACCTTATAATTAACTGTCAGAGATCAAGCTAGAAGTAAGAGAAATTGTCATTTCTGCTATTTTTTGTTGTTGTTATTCACCTGTGCATGAATTATTAATATAATCTTCAAGACAGTTTCTGTGCAGGAATCTTTTTAAGCCACTTTGGCTGTTACATTATATTTCATTTAGTTAAAACAATAATAGGCATAATCAATTAATGTGCTTTACTGGGTTCCTGTAAACTATCTTGGTTGATAACGTCCAGCATTTTGTTAGCCTTATATACCATGTACTTGGTGTGGACATCTTTAAGGAGTAGTTTATGTTGATAACTCATAGAGTCTTTTTAATTGAAGTATAGTTGATTTACAGTATTATGTTAGTTTCAGGTATACAACATAGTGATTCAGTATTTTCTAGATTATATTCCGTTATAGGTTATTATAAGAATCTGAGTATAATTCCCTGTGCTATACAGTATATCCTTGTTGCTTATCTATTTTATATATAGTACTTTGTATCTGTTAATCCCTAATCCCTGTTAATACCCCTAATTTGTCCCTCCCCCCTTCCCTCTCCCTTTCAGTAACCACAAGTTTGTTTTCTATGTCTGTGACTCTGTTTCTGTTTTACATATACATTCATTTGTATTATTTTTTAGATTCCACATGTAAGTGATATCATATAGTATTTGCCTTTCTTCTGACTTATTTCACTAAGCATAATATTCTCTATGTCCATCCACATTGCTGCAAATGGCATTATTTCATTCATTTTTATGGCTGAGTAATATTCCATTGTGTGTGTATATACACACACACACACACACACACATATATATATATATAAACCCATACATTATAAACACAGTCTTAAAATTTGGACTTTAAGGAAAAATTATATTGTTAAAATGAGAACAGAGTGTGTATATCTCATAATCATCTAAATTCTGTATTAGTAACAAAAATATAAGGTTAAGCTTAAATGAATTAAGTTACCCCAGATTATTTTAATATTCTCTTTTATCTAATGAAATGACTCCAAAGTAAGAAACTGAATCTTGTTATTGGAATGCAAAAGCCTAAGACTCATCAAAAAGGATTTTTATGTTCTCATAATTAGTATCTAATGTATAACTTTTCTCTTATATTTTAATGTTGACAGCTTCTTCCCTGTGATTCCTTAGAAGCAGATGAAATGGAAAGGCTTAAGCATGAAAGAAATGATGCCTTGGAAGAAGTGAATACACTTAAGGTAATCTCCAATTTAGCTTCCTTATATTTTCTTTAGAAAAATGAAAAGAAAGAAAATTACCTTCTGTTGAATTCTGCAGTATCGGGGCTTAGTGTTTTTTTTAAAGAATATTAATATCAAATAGCTTAGCATTGAATGTTAATACCAAGTAATTTGATATTTATTTCTTCAGCTGACCTTTAGAGAATTAATTTTTTAGTTCACACACTTATTTATATTTCACAGTCTCCATCTAAGATTCAGTGTGAACAGTGGTTTTTAGTTATCCCTTCTGATCTAGCTACTTTTCACCCCGGTTTTTTCTTACGCTGATGGCAAGGATAAGGAGCCAACAAAGGTTAGATGAGAAGCCCACAAAACAAGCCATGACAGTTTTGGATCCTCAGATGTTCATTGGGAAATACATTTTCTCCCATGTTCATGGGAATGCTTCAGGGACATCTTGTTTTGCTAACATAATTTAGAATTAAGGCAATGTGATTTAAGGGAAATAAAAACACAGTATATCCCAAATATACTTTAAGATTTTGGTTCTCTTTATATGTCTTCATTTCATGTTTAGTAGAATATTAAATTTACATTATATCCTAAGTTTTACAGAAAGCCATTATATTTTTCAAATCTTCAAGAAAAGCAACATAACTACTTGATTTACCATTAATTCACCATAGGAATATATTTTTAAATTACTTTTAATTATTTTCTTAAATAAGTGAAATTCTATTATTTGTTTAATTTTTATTAAAGCAAAATCTTTACACCAAAAAAAAAAAAAAAGAAAGAAAGAAAGAAATTTCCTTGCTACCTTAGTTTTTAAATTCTGACCTCTAGAGGAAGCCATTGTTTAACACACCTTGTTTATCCTTTGGGAGACTTTCTCTATGTAGCCAATCATATGTTTAAAAATACATGTGTATATATTTTTTAACTTTTACAAAATTGCATACATTACACACTTTTTTACAACTTGCCTTCTTTTTTTCTCTTTGTTAGCATTATATCTTTGGTTACTTTTCAGGTTAACATATACAGATCTACCTAATTCTTTTTAATGCCTCTCCTATCATCAAAAGGTTCTATTCTAGGTTATTTAACCAGTTCCTTATTGATGGATATTTAGGCTATTTCCAGTTTTCCATTATTAAAAATAATTCCGTCATAAGTAGCTTTGTAGATGTATCTTTGGGCCGTTGTGCAGTTGTAAAAGTACAAATTGAATACGTTTCTGAAAGCCGAATTGCTTTTGTCAAAGAATATGGATGCATAAAATTTTACATGTTGCCAAATTCCCTTTCAAAAGCTATTACCAATTCATGTTACGTCCAAATGTAAGCATTTTACTACTAAAGGAATATTTTATATTTCTTTTTACATCTTTGAAACCACTATCCACATTTTTTTGTGTAACAAGAGTTAAGATGAAAAATATAAATTTAGTTTTAAAAATATATTGACAGTAGTTTCCTCATATTCTCTTAGAAAACATCTCCCGGGTTGGTTACATTGGTAAGACAGCATTTTTATATAATTTACTCTGCATAAGTCGTTGAGTCTTACAGTTCATCAGAATTTTCTGAGGCTCTCAGATCTTTTTTATTTCCCTAATGTTTATCATTGTTAAATTTAGTGATATATTCCTGTTTTTTATTGGAATATCAGTATTAATTATTAGAATTTTAATTTAATTTAACATTTAAACAAAGTTTTCCTGAGGAGCTATTCAGTAAATCAGGATTCACATTTAAAATTTTTGAGATGTAACTGAGCATATCCTACTGTGACAAAACCTAAAAGCACGGGTGAAATATATTCTATATTTTATAATTTCCTTTACCTGAGAACCTATCTATTGGCTGAGAACCACTTGTTTAACTATAGAAAAGATTGTACAAAGCAATAAATATTTCATTTGAGATAATGTTTGCACTTTTGAGTTTTTCTGCTTGTATTGATATTACACACACACAAATAGCAGAGGTTGTTAAATGAAGTTCATGGAGTGTGTAGATGGTCTCTCGTCACTTCCCATTATCCTGTGACATCTCTATTCTTCATGTCTGATTTGAGGTACAAAGAAAAATGAAGCCAAGAAAATTTGATACCAATGGCTAATTTTTATTTTACAAGAATGATTTTTAAAAGTGCCATGGGCCTCATTTAACTTAAAGCCTTTCTGCAGAGTTCACATTGCTACTGCTTTGCAAAGCTGAATGAAAATAGATATATTTTCCATTTACAGATGCAAAAAACTAGGACACAAAAAGTGAAGGTGACTTGCATAAAACCCAGGAGCCAGCAGTTTCTTGACTTATGGTCTGTGGCAGATTCATTAGATTGCTATATTATATTCATTGTCATGTACTTTCATTTCATCTGTTAGACAAGAATGAGCTGAAGTATAGCAGAAAGCGAATTGCTTCCTGTAAACCCTGCAATGCTGCCATGAATATTTACCACTCAATATAATCTTCCAGCAATTCCTCTGCTTGGGTTTATAGTAAAATTGTTCTTAAATTACTCTTAGTATCTCTGATTTGATCAAAAACATGTAGATTTATTTATGACATACTTAACAAAATTGAACATTTTAGGATATTTGCTCAACTGAATTTTAAGTTCAAAGATTTTAATATTTGATTGACATGCCTAATGTTATTCTTCCTTAGTAACTATGATTTCATATTTTGGTTACACCAGTCATATCTTCAGTTTTATTGATAATCTTCCAAAAATAAACTAAATTAAGAAAATAATAGTTAACCCAGTTTCATAGTCCTCTTTAGTATAGTAAGAGACACTCTAAGTTGTAATAATAATGCTCTTCAATTTGCAAGCTCTTTGGCAATGATAGCTATTACCCAACATTTAGTTAATATTTATACATTCTGATCCTGATTGACTTATTTTGGACCTTGGATTTTGAGGTTTTAAAAAGCGGCTAACAGGGAGTCCACTGGTAGCTAGTGGTTAGGATTCCGGGCTTTCACTGCTGTGGCCCGGGTTCAGTCCCTAGTCAGGGAGCTAAGATCCTGCAAGCTGCATGGTGCCGGACCCCCCTCCAAAAAAAGTGACTAATTATAGTAACAGAAAATATGTTTACATCACCACAATTATACTGTAAATAACTAATTACTTTTAGATGGTATGTGTAAAGCCAGAAAAATGACTGGGAACTACATTTTCAAATTGTAGAAATTGGATGTTTGGGGAATTTATAAGCTTTGAAACAAAGCCCTAAATATCATACCCATTGATACCTTCATAACAAGTTATTAATTCAGTGGTTTTTAAATATAGGAAAAATTATTTCAATCGGAAAGGCAAAGGAAACAATTGACAGAAGAACTCCAAAATGTGAAACAAGTAAGTGTATGTATTGTATATATGTGTTTTGTATATGTGTGCATAAACATATGAGGTATAATTACAAAGTATTGATGCTGTATAATATCCCAGAGCTTACAGATGTAAGCAGTATAGTATAAAATAGTATAGATCTTAAAAGCGATCACTCATAGGGGCTGTACCCATGCTGAATTCCTGCTACCAAAGGAAATGTTAAAACTCCTCTTGGAAATTGCTTTCAAAGCCAGATATCTATGGACTGAAATGATCCATCTCATTGCTTTTCTCTTCTTTTTTTCTTTCTCTTTTATTTTCCCTTTTTCTTTTCTTCTGTTACTCATACTCATCTTATTAAAGATAAAAACAAAGCAAGCAAAAAACAAAAACCTCCAAAGCAGAGCATTTTTTAATTTTATTTTTTAACAATGAAAAGTAAAAATTTGGGATTTCTCTGGTGGTGCAGTGGTTGAGAATCCGCCTGCCAATGCAGGGTACATGGGTTTGATCCCTGGTCAGGGAAGATCCCACATGCTGTGGAGCAACTAAGCCCATGTGCCACAACTACTGAGCCTGCGCTCTAGAGCCCGCAAGCCACAACTACTGAGCCCGTGTGCCACAACTACTGAAACCTGCGTGCCTAGAGCCCATTCTCCACAAGAGAAGCCAGCGCAATGAGAAGCCCATACACTGCAATGAAGAGTAGCCCCCGCTCGCTGCAACTAGAGAAAGCCTGCACACAACAATGAAGACACAACGCAGCCAAAAATTAATTAACTAATTAATTTTTAAAAAATTAATTTTCACTCTGCATCATTCTTCAGAGAATTTTAAGTAACTTACAGCAAAAAAATACAACAGCATCATCATGAAATAGAGATACAAGTAACAAACAAATAAAATATTAATAAGAGTAGGAAGTTAAGAGACCATTGTTATAGATCAGTGGCAATCACCTGATTTTGAATCTCCCCAACATTATCCTCCCAGAAAACATAAAATTTACAGAGCAAAATAAAACCATACAGGACCCATACTGGTTTCTTTTGTTTGTTTGTTTGGGGGTTTTTTTGGCTGTGCCACTTGGCTTGCAGGATCTTAGTTCCCCAACCAGGGATTGAACCCAGGCCCATGGTAGTGAAAGCACCGAGTCCTAACCACTGGACTGCCAGGGAATTCCCAGGACCCATACCTTAAATATGGCTATTGGACAGGGAACACCAGAACCTTCAAACTACATACAAATAGTTTAAAAATTCCAACAAATTCTTGCAACTTGCCTGCCACTGAAACCTGGGGTACAAAGAGCAGAGGAGTTACGGCTTAAAAACTCTGAAAAAGAATAAGGAGAAACAGAGCAATTAGATGAAATACTACAAATAAAATCACCCCCAGAAAGAGAAAAATGCCACTATTAATGCCAAAATACTGAACAGAGGCCAGGTTTTTGTGCTTCTCAGGACTTGAGAAAGTGTGTGCAACCAGAAGTGGCAGCCTTCGAGAATCATTGCTTCTGGGGAAGAATCAAATAGAGAAGGGGTGGTATCCCTTGGAGATTAGGAAATAAAGAGAAACAAGGATATAAGAGGGGAAAATTAAGGATCTTGCAGAAATGAAAGAGAAACAAGACATACCAAACCTCCTCTATCTACCCTCCA